ACCACCAACTCCTTCATGAAAACCATGACCCACATTTCTGATTTCAACTAATCAGATTTATTGAATGAATTAAAATGCAGTTTGTAGCTCAGATAGTACGAAACATGTGACAGAACAAAGAGAAGGAACAAAACCAAAATGTTTTAACAGCGCTTTATAAACTTTTTGACACTTTTTTTTCCAGTCACATCAAAGATGTTTGAATGGTCGTGCATCCCGCCTTCATTTTGCCCTGAGATGGGAACTCTTTGTATTTCTGAGTCTGAAAAGTAGCTTCCAATGATGCAAAATGACGATTTTTGCGTCACTGGAAGCTGCTAGTTCCTCATATTTTCCACCACTAAAGCTACAGACCAATCACAGATCAGTGGGTGGGAACTCCCAGAATTGAAACTTAACGTCCACCATATTGCTTGGAAGCTATGCTGGCTCTATGGAGAAAGCTGAAAATGGCGAAAAAATATAGCGGCCGCCGCTGGCCGCCGGGGCCGCTGCTGGCCGCTGACGATCTGTAGGAGGTAAAGCTAAAAAAAAATTGAAAAGAGTACTGGTGACATCAACAGCGCTTTTCTGAAAAGTTGAAAGACTTTCATCTTAACGCTTAAACTGCACAGTAAAAGGCGGAGAGCTCGGAAAAAAGACGCAGGGTGCTGCGCTTTTTCTCCAGATGGTCGCTTTGTTCTGAGAACGCTCTCTTCGCATTGAAATCAATTTTAAAAAGACGCTGGCGCTCTGTAAAAACCGCTGAACTGGAGGTCTGTTCATCCGCACTTTTCAAACTTTTTCCCCTTATTGTAATTCACACTGACAAATCCAAATGTCGCTTTTCAGACTTGGCCCTAACACCCCACAGGTTGGGATTCCTCGTCATGACACTTGGACTCGACTCCAGGTTGTAAATGGCTCTTTCTTTTGACCTTTTTGTGTTTTTAGGACAGGGTGTTTCTCAACCTGCCCGCTCTGTTGTATAAGAGTGCCTCTGGCTCGTGAACTGGCCCACTTTTCAAGACAAAGATGTAAGAGGTTTTGTGGAAGGAGGCCATGTCCCTGAGGAGGAAGTTTACTGGTCCTCAGCGGGATGGGGGGGTGTAATTTATCCCCTCAGCTGATCCATTTATGAAATGACCCAACTGTAACTGATTCATTTCTCTGGATGATTTTAAGAAGAAGTCTGAAGAAGTGTGAAACACAATCTGATCCATGTTTCAGAGGAGCACAGGGGTCACTCCTCTCCTCCGTGCTTAGCTCCACTCGAGTCCTTCTTTTCATCTCTTTGTTTCATCACATTAGCTCGGCTGCTGCATGCTCATTTAGCATTTTGAAGAGGCTCTGACACTCACCCGGGGTCTTTTCACTGAGAGGCAATGAGAGTGTGTGTTTTTTCAAATCATACAGAGTGAACATGATCAGACTGAATCTCTTCATTCATTTCAGCTGCTGAAGCCTGGAGTCCTCTGGCCCTTTTTTTCTGAGAGACGTTTGTCTTTGTTTTTTCCAACCACAGCGTGTCGTGTTGTAGGCGTGAATAATAGACCTCATTATTAGCACTTGTTTCTATAGCAACAAGATGTGTTTGCCAGGCAGATCTGAGTCTGCCAGAGGGTTCACATTCGCTTGGACACCCAGAGAGGATCCACAGACTGTTTGATAGCAGGCAGAGAATGCATCCTGCTGCACATGCAGTACATGGTGTTTTATGGTTTTGTACTGGTTCATGATTTACTGTCTGTGCAGGTTCTCAGTCGTCCAAGGAACGAGTCCAGCTGCCTCTGGATCAAGCTTGAAAATGTTGTGCTTTACTGTTTACATGTGGTTTGAGTTTTTTCTGTTGTTTTTATGTCTTGTAATGTACTCAGGAGGCAGCACTTTGACCCCAAGATCACATGGTATCACATCCCATACCATCATATTGTATCAAATCGTATGAGAAGGCCACTGTAGACTTAAAACACGTGACATTTTGCCTTTGATGATATTGTTTATTTGATATTACTTGTGAATCCAGTGATTTAACATTTACTAATGTTGTGTTAATTAGTTACTCTCTACATTTCTTTGTGATGATGTAGTAAATGACAACATGTCCTGTACAAGGTGTCAAACTCGGTCACTGTTATTACAACATGATCACTGTTACTCTGCTGCTGCCTCCAGCACAGTCTTATTATCTCTTCCTCTCATCGTTTTACGGCCCACTCATTCTGCTCTCATCAACCCTCATTTTCCTGCAGATGCATGCAGCTGTTTTCTGCTTCAACGCTGTGATAATAACCGACTGGCATAGAGACAAAGTTAGCCACCAGCGACTGACTGAACACATCTCCCCGAGGAGGTGGAGAGGAGCAAACTGGAACGGAAACAAAGCTAAATATTGGAATTGTATTAGTCAAGTAGCCAAAAGCAGAACTCCATACGAGTGCTAATATTGAATGTGTGAAAGGCAAAGCTCAGCTGACAGGTCTGCAAATACAACTTTAATGTATGCTCATATGTCCATGTGGTGTTTATAGACGGGTGTGTACGGCCTCTAAATGGACAGGAACAGAATAAAGCATGGTTTTTAGAATAATGTGACCGTCTAATGTGAAGTGGGAAACCCACAGAAAGGCATGATTATACATATGTGGATATCTGAAACCCAGAGGTGTCAAGTAACTAAGTACAAATACTTTGTTACCTTACTTAAGTAGAAATTTTGGGTATCTATACTTTACTGGAGTAATTATTTTTCAGCCGACTTTTTACTTCTACTCCTTACATTTTAAAAATAGCCTCGTTACTCCTATTTCATTTCGGCTTGTTTTCATTCCGGCTTCTCATCGTTCAAAAACACACACAAAAACACAAAAACCTATCCAGATAAATTGAGCCATCCGGATAGAATGAATTTGACCATACAAGGGTAATTGTTACTAAGCCTGCCCTGGGTACACCAATTTCCTTGTCCAGTTTTGTTATCTTACATCCGTTGCCCTCACAGATTCCTGCAGCTAAGCTTGGATGTACATTTACATTCCAATAATAACATGCTTCTGAAGTTTGACTTTTTGCACCACTACAATACTACAATATGCAACTAGTCATCATATCTTCCGCTCCATGAAACACATGTTAATGCTAAAACACATATCTGGTTCTTTAATGTATTTGCATTATACTAAAATGCGTTCATTTTCAATGGGCATAAATGTGGCTGAAACAAGTGCATCCCAATTTTTCAACATTACATTTTAATATAACATTATAGTCATTTAGGCCTTTAGAAAAATGTTTTTTTGAGGAGGTGGGGTAGTGCACTATAGGCCCCTGTGGCGCGGCCTAAGCTTTTGTCCCCTTACATTACTTTTACTTTTATACTTGAAGTAGTTTTGAAACCAGTACTTTTACACTTTTACTTGAGTAAAAAACTTGAGTTGATACTTCAACTTCTACAGACGTCTTTTTAAACCCTAGTATCTATACTTCTACCTGAGTAATGAATGTGAATACTTTTGACACCTCTGCTGAAACCCTTTAACTTTAGTATGTGCTTTAGGGTGCTCTCACACTTTCCCTGACACTTTTTTCTCTTTTAGGTATAACTGCCTGCAATATGTTTTCATTGATATGAATGTCTCTCAACAACTGTGTTTCAGGCACAAGTTGTGTTGAGGACTACATTTTTGAAGCCAAGAATTCAGAGTATTCTGTGAGCATTGTGATTTTTCCTCCACTCAAAGGTCGCCATACTTGAACAGAGGGTTGATCTGGAAAGGAGTGAAACAGTAGGAAATGTGAAGTTATTAAACTTAAACTCTTAAACACTTCATGCCCAGGTTCATTCATTTGTTGCTTAGTTAAGAGTTAAGCTAACGAGCCATCTAGAGTAAATGCAACAAACAACAGTCAACCTCCCAATGAAGCCGATGCTGAAGTGCAAAATCCTGCAGTTCCTTCGAGTGTCCACTAGAGGCTGCCTGCAGAAGCACAGGAAGACACATACACACCCATTCAAAAAAACTGTTTTTACAGCAGAGATTAACATGTTTACATCCTGGTTCAAAAAGCCAAATAGGTCTGATTAGTTCATGTCTGATCGACACACATTTTACGGAGGAGGATTTTTTTTTAGTAACTCATCAGTTTTGATTTGATGAAGGATAAGAGTTATTCACAATAAGACACGTAGATGACCTGAGTGACAGGCGGGCGCGGTGTAAGCCTCTCAGCCTGTCGTTAGGTTGACTGAAAGTTAGGCTGAGAAAAGATTTCCAACATGGAGACCACCATCGCCCCCTGCAGGAACAGATGGGTGACAACACTCAGGCTTCATTCATTAATATTTACAGTCTAAGAGATGCACACAGTGAGAGCTGCTGTAAGTGCTGATATATGAATAAAATAGGATTTTTCTCACAGACAAGCTGGAGCACTATGAATTGTATGTTGTTTTTTTAAAGGTGTGTTTTGGGGCTTTTTCTGCCTTTATTTATTTAGATAGGACAGAGTCAGAGATAGGGGACAGAGCGAGTGGGGAATGACGTGCAGGAAAGGAGCCAGAGGTTGGATTCAAACCCGGGTTGTTCACCTGGGGGACCACAGCCTCTGTACATGGGGCGTGCTCGCTAACCACTAAGCTACCGGCGCCCCAACCCTTTGATAGTTTGAGTCCTCACATTTCAGTCTAAACACTTTTCCTCCTAAGACTTACGTTTACCTCTGGAAGCTGTTTTTTGTCGCTGTTAAAATCTGTCAACCAACACCGGACCTGCACAGCGACATGCCAGAGTGTGTTTGACCTCATTCCTGAGTGGGCAGGAATCCTCTGAGCGATATGTGAGTGCATTTCTACAAAATGTCTGAACGACATGCTGGTGGGGTTCAGTAACCAACAGGGAAGACGACACAGCCCAATGTACATGCTCAACATGTTAGTTCAGAAGCAGTGTCACTTATGAAGCAGTGTTTAAATGGTTTATACACCGTATGTAATCCTCATCTCTGTCTCTGTCTGCTTTCAGAAACCGGCTAACATCCTGGTGATGGGGGAAGGTCCCGAACGAGGAAGGGTTAAAATCGGTAAGGCTGACTCAGAGAATATGTCTGTTATGTTTGACCGATTCAGCTTTGTAAACAACGAGCCTAATAGACCCCATGAGTATGGATCATTGAGGCTGTTGACTTGTTGGAGTGTCCTGTAGCTGCAGTGTTTAACCTCTGTGGGCGAGGTCGACAGATCAGAGCTGTTACATAAGGCAGCTGGTCAGGGGACTGCTGAAGGGTAACGCTGCAGTGCTGCGGTCTATTTTTAAACCCTGTGAGTGCACTAATAGTACCTAGTTATTGTGTCAGTGCAACCAGATCCTCTACAACTGCTGCTGCTGAGTGTTTCCCTGCACTCAGTGTTAATGCACCTGGCTGCTCCAACAGGAGAGCACTCTGAGAGAGAGCCTGAACTTACTTTACAAACAAAACCATTAAGGTGTGTTTTATCTTATATTTATACAACAGCTAGTTCCCACCAAGCAAACTGACGATATAGGAGAACATCCCCAGTGGGACTTTTCACAGAGTCCAGAATCACACACTGTTTGCTATGTAGTGAACAGGCCATTTTTAAGAGGTGTCCGAAAATTGAGTGAGCATAATCAAACTTTATAGTCCACAAATTGTATCCCACAATGTAATAGTAAGGGATATTGCATACCTAATGTGTTCATAACGGTGTCTTATAACACCTATAAAAAGACTTAAAGGGGACATCCACTTCTACAGTGTTTCTGAACATATATTTGGGTATCCTGAGTGTCTACTGACCCACACAATGTGAAATAAATCCATCCAGTCCTTTGTATGTGGTCTGCATAAGTCTTTCAACACAGAGAAAAATGCTCTGTTTCAAATGTGCTCAACTTGTGATGTCACAGTGGGATTTTGGTTTAAAAAAATCCCCTCCCCTCCCCTGATAGGGACTCCACCCCCAGTCTAGAGCAGGTCAGCTATTTTCCTTCTCACTAGCGGAGCAGTGATGTCTACAGAGAAAACTCAGGGGGCTGATTGCATTTAAAGAGACACACACACCAAAACGGAGCGTTCTGAGAGAGCTGGTTTATACAGGGTCACAAACCTCCTCTGGTGCTTGATTCATGTTATATTTTGACCAAAGCACAGCATAGATGTTTCATTTAGACCACAGGGGGACTGTTTGAAAAGGTGGAGAAGGGGAATAATATGTCCTCTTTAAATTAAACTCCTGTAGGAAACCTGTGAGAGCTGCTCAAAGTTCGGGTACCCAGAACCTTATTGGGGAAAAATTGAAAATGTTAACCTCTGTCTTAGGTAGCTTGTTAGGGGTCAAATTAGGGGATTTTCAGGATTCTGAATCCTCTCCTCTCCTCTCAGGTTCAGTATTGCTCTCTGATAATGTCTGTGTTTGTTGACCTCATGTGTCTTCTCTGCACACTTCCTGTAGCTGACATGGGTTTCGCCAGACTTTTCAACTCTCCGCTCAAACCGCTGGCGGACCTCGACCCCGTGGTGGTGACCTTCTGGTACAGGGCCCCCGAACTGCTACTGGGGGCCCGGCACTACACCAAAGCTATCGGTGAGTGTGAAGTCACGTGTACAGGTGTGTGTGTGTGTGTGTGTGTGTGTGTGTGTGTGTGTGTGTGTGTGTGTGTGTGTGTGTGTGTGTGTGTGTGTGTGTGTGTGTGTGTGTGTGTGTGTGTGTGTCTGCAGACCAGATCTGAAGTGAAGCTTCATTATAAATCAGAAGGTGTCAGTCCCTCAATGTGAACAAGAATGTACATTGCTGGGTGACAGGTCATGACTAAGCAGGTGTGTCTACGTGTCTATATTTATCATTCCTGGAACACGAGTGAACTCTGTCAGTGTGTCCACATGGTGCTTCATATCATCAACACCTCAGGTTGGCTCGCTCACTTTGAGGGACGCTTTAAAGACGTGATTCAATAAAATGTTCTGGGGAGGGGGACATTTTTATGGATTTTAAGAGTTAGCTTAGAAGAATAACAACAAACACTGTCATGTCATTGTGTTGATATAAGCCACTCAGTTAGCTTAGCTTTTGGATTGGAAAATGTTTATTGTCCCCAAAGGGTCATTTGGTTTGTGAAAGAGGGTCCACCCAGGCACATAGACATGAATAGACATGTATAAAATATAACTCCCATAGATATCATCACAATGGACATGAGGGGAGAGGAGAGATACTAAGACAAACAGTTCATGGTTAAAGTATACGGGCAACAACGCCTACATCTTATTAAGAAACCAAACTGCTGATGGGACAGACGACAAAGTGAACCTCCTCCCTGTCGGCAGAAGTCTGAACTCTTCATGCAGACGGTGCTGAGGGTCCTCCAGGATGGCCTTTGCCTTCTGATTGGCTCTTATTTGAAAAACATGGCCGAGATGATTCAAGTCAACGCCAGCGATCTTTAACTATATTTCTCCGACTCCAAACCAACAGATCATCAGAAAAGTAAAAATGGACTCAATAAAAGATTATTACAATGATTTGTCGACATTAAAACTCCTGAGCTTTCTCACAGAGAACAGTCTCTGGCTGGCTCTTTTCACAGCCATAAAAGGCTGTTTTGTTGCCAGCTGAGGCTTTCTTTTGGTTCCCAGCCTACGTATAGAGGATGGTCCAACTTAAAGGTATACTTCACCCGTTGAAACATGAATCAGTATTGACATTGGGTCATATATGTAGAGAAATGTGAAATACATTTTGAAGTTGGTGCCTTCTCGGCTGAGAAAAGGCAGAAAGTGTCTTTTTGGCTCATGTTGATGAAAGACAACAAATCCCACAATGCACGGCAGGCTACTCCCACTAATGTCCTCTATTTACAGACATTTACTACAACACATATGCCCGTTTCCTCAATGGATTACAAGATTTCTTCCAGAAGGAATTGGTATCTTAGAAACCCCACTAACCACAGCAGACGCAGATGACGCAAAATGACAAGCTCCTTTTCAGACTTAAGACAAAGATTTGTGAGGACGGGATGCACGACCATTCAAAAATACTACCAGGTTTCTAATGATACAAAGCTTAATGCAAATGGGTGAAGTATACCTTTAAAACTCATCTGACGTCTTCTCTATTTCTACTAAGACTTGATGCAGCATTGTAGGATGAATTTACTTCCATCGAAACCTCTCCTAACTGTCATCATGAATGCAGGAGATACGAGTACAAAACTAAACTGTGTGTGTGTGTGTGTGTGTGTGTGTGTGTGTGTGTGTGTGTGTGTGTGTGTGTGTGTGTGTGTGTGTGTGTGTGTGTGTGTGTGTGTGTGTGTGTGTCCACGATCTAGATATTTGGGCTATTGGTTGCATCTTTGCGGAGCTGTTAACGTCGGAGCCCATATTTCACTGTCGCCAAGAAGACATCAAGACCAGTAACCCCTTCCATCACGACCAACTGGACAGGATATTCAGCGTCATGGGTTTCCCTGCAGGTCTGTACACACACACACACACACACACACACACACACACACACACACACACACACACACACACACACACACACACACACACGGTCACAGCCTGCGTAAGACTTCTGTTTTGATTCTGATTAGTCTGTCATCATTCGTCATCAGGCTCACCTTCTTTTATTTTTAGAGATAGGACAGAGTGAGAAATCAGAAGAGTGAGAGAGATAGAGAGAGAGTAGGGAACGACATGCAGCAAAGGAGCCACAGGTCGGACTCAAACCCGGAGGTCTAAGCCTCTGTACATGGGGCTTGTGTATCACCCACTAGGCCAGGGTGCTGACAACAGAATGACTGAATGACACAGTGAGTGTCGAGTGCAGAACAAGTGGAAGTGTAAAGTGACTTGTGTTGGCTCTCTGTTCCTCCAAGGTGTCCGGTGGAGTTTGTTATCAACAAACAGAGTTATGTTTCCCTTCAGTGTGTGTACAGAGGTGTGTATCCTACAGGTCGAACAAACACGCTGAGTACATTATCAAACACGGTAAACATTTACAAAACAGTTTTACATGATTTGCTCTGTTTTACATCTCTTCACTTTCCATCAGTCATTCCCTCCCTGCCTTTGTGTGCACATTGCTGCCTTTCAGCTGCACATTTAATGGCATTTATTTTTTAGTCTAAGACTAGGTGAAAACAAAGCAGCGACCTCAGGTGTTGAAAAATGAAGCCAATGCTCAAGTGCAAAATCCTGCAGTTCATCTAGTGTCCACTAGAGGCTGGCTGCAGAAGTACTGGAAGTCATATATGCCGTTTTCACATGAAAATATCTAGATCATTTCAGGAGAACTGCGCCGGATATTCCTAATACACACCCGTTCAAAAGCCTGTTTTATACAGCAGATAGCCTGGTAAAAAAAATAGAAAACAGGTCTGATTAGCTCATGTCTTGATCGGCTCATCCGTTTTGATTTGATGAAGGATAAGAGTTATTCATAATAAGGCGTGTAGCTGACCTGATTGACAGGTGGGCGCGGTGTAACAGTTCATCAAGAGGTTTAAAACCCGCCTCAGCTCCAGCTCTCAGTCTGTCATTAGGTTGACTAAAAGTTAGACTGAGACAGCATTTCCAACATGGAGACCACCATCGATGCTGTAATAGACGGGTGACGTCATTCAGGCTTCGTCCATTCCATATTTACAGTCTATGGTTCATACTTACAGACACAAACCCTGGTTTAACTCATCTTCGATCACCTGGCCTGATCGAGAATGATACATCTTGAGTTTTTTAAGATTATTTCTCTGTGCAGTGTCTCGGTGTCAGAAATCATCGGCCGTCCTGCACTGTCAGTGAATCCAGCTCAGGGTTCAAGCAGAGTTTTGTGTTCATGAAACTATGGGGTCTGTTCTGTGTTTTTTCATATCCCACAGATAAAGACTGGGAAGACATCAGGAAGATGCCCGAGTACCCGACACTGCAGAAAGACTTCAGACGAACAACGTGAGTCAACGCCGTGATGATCTGAGCCTGATCGCAATCTCACAGACAGAAACAAAAAACAAAACAATAAACACGGTCTTCATGTTCTTTTTTGTTCTAAGCGTGTCGTTGTGTTTCGTCATCTTTCAGGTACGCAAACAGCAGCTTAATCAAATACATGGAGAAGCATAAAGTCAAACCAGACAGCAAAGTCTTCCTGTTGGTGCGTACACACACACACTTGTTTGCTTCTATGTAATTTTCACGTTGTGTACGCCAGCAGCCTTGAGGATTGTGGGAGGGATGTGTCACAGTTTGCTGAGTAAACATGTAAACAGAAACGTTTTCTGATAGTTTGTGTAAATATCCAGAAATGATGACACACCATCAATGAGTGTGATGAGTTGTGTCTGGGTTTTTTTCAGTAAAAAGTCCTGAATCATGTTAAAATCATGTGGCTCAGTGGTAGAGTCGGTCGTCTCTCATCCTGAAGGTTGGGGGTTCGATCCCCAGCTCCTGCAGCCACATATCCGATTTGTCCTTTGGCAAGACGCTAAACCCTGAGTTAATAGCCTGAGAATATTAAGATTCAAACACAATCTAACAACTCTTTTATTCAGTCTTTTATGAAGGACTCAAGTGAAACACTCAACTCACAATACGTTACTTTAGGCTGCAGTAGCTCAGTCTGTAGAGAACCAGAGGGCTGCTGGTTCAAGTCCCGGTTAGACTAAAGTATGAAAGTTGTTGCCTTTGAGCAACCCACCAAACCCCCCCAACGGCTTTTGCACTCTTCCTGTAAAGAAGTCCTTTGCTCAATTACATAAAGTGTAATTTCTCTTCGGACACTGGTCATATGATATGATTTTATCAACATTTTACAATCTATAAATTTCTTTCTAGAAAGTGACACTGATGATATCGTACCAAAATCCATTTGAACACTTTTAATTTAAATAAAAACAAATCAATAAATCAAATAACTAAGTGTTGAGCACAGATAGAGACGCATTTTAAATAAAATGAAATCTGCAAAAACAGGCTTCTCAACAGTTGACCGTGTGTTACCTCGTGTTAGTTTTCATTCACATTTTTGAACAGTTAGGTCATTTCAGCTGAACGTGTTCATCACAGATCCTTTAATGCATGTTGACAGTAGGTAAGGCTTAATGTATAAATACACAACGTTATCTTTGTAACAGCATGTTGTACTTTTACCCTCAGCTGCAGAAACTCCTCACCATGGACCCCACCAAAAGAATCACATCAGAGCAGGCGCTGCAGGACCCCTACTTCCTGGAGGATCCTCTACCAACCACTGAGTGAGTCTAAAGCTCCTTCTGCAGGAGCTTTCAGGAGTTTTCTGCAGGTATAGAAGCTCTATACTATCGCAGGAGGTTTTCCTTTGTCTTGATTGAGCAATAAAAAAACAGGCCGTCAGTGGCTCACTCCTCTCCATGAGGAATGTGCTCTTTATGCTCTAACCTTCCTTCCCTGCTTTGTTTTTCTGTGTTTCTGTTGTCAAAGTTCTGAGTTTTGGTTGGATCACATGTTGTTCTTCATGATGACAGATTTTAATCACTGCTTCTTTGTGATGTCCTCTAGTGTGTTCGCTGGGTGTCTGATCCCGTACCCCAAACGAGAGTTCTTAAATGAAGATGAACCGGAGGAGAAAACAGAAAAGGTAATTATCCTCTTTATTTATTTTACACTCTGTTATTGAGACGTGCTACACTAACTACCAGACCAATTGTCAGACTTGGTCCACACCGGGACTTGAACCAGCGACCCCCAATAAAGGAGGTAATTATACGTGCAGGGCGGTGCAAAAACATAAGACTGAGGAAGAAGCAAAGCTTGCGCACTTCGCTCAGATGCAAATAATGTGAAATCACAACATTTGTACCAGAGGTCTTCTTCAGGTCAAAGTGTGGGGGCATATCTTCCTCCATCATTTCTCCTGCACTCTACAACTGCAACAGTCTCATCTAGCCCCCTGCCGTAGAAAATGGCTGAAGTCACTCAGACGTCGTCCATTAATATTTACAGTCTATGGTTTGACCTCTTTACTATCACACTATTACCATCTTTTTACCGAGCTGTGTAAAACCGTTTTGAAATGCTCCTTTCAGTCGTGTTTTTGGAGCTAATACTCAAGTTTTTTTTTGTTGGCCTTATTGCCTTTATTTGAAAGGAGAGCTAAAGAGAGACAGGAAATGTTGTGAGGAGGGGGGGGGTGACATGCAGCGAAGGGCTGAGGTCGGATTCCAACCCACGGCCGCTGGGATGAGGACCAAAGCCTCTGTACACAGGTCACTCGTCATAACCACCAGGCTACCCGTTCCCCTAGGAGCTAAAACTAGAACACTTATTCAGACCAATATCATATTTTTTGACCAAAGAATCATCAGGTTTATTAAACTACGTAACCCACCTGCTCTCATCACGTTTCTTCTTTGAGCTTCCTAGTAAACCTTAAAAAAAGGCTTCTGGATTTGTTATCCCAGCCAGTCGTAGTGAGACTATGTTGTTGTCCTCCGATGGCTCGGTCACATGGAAACCTTCAGGCTCTGAGTTAGTAAATTCCTGAAAACATCTCTGGGCAACACATTTTGCAAGCGTGACCGCTTCAGCTGCATGTGAATATCACAGAAACAGAAACCGTAACTACTCTGTTTACACACCAACAAGGTCAGCCAGTAGAACGCCGTCATGTTTTGTGCCATCGTTAGAGTTCATCTCCCTCATTTGAAAGTGAAAGTGGGTCACTGGAGAAGAGAACAAAAGCCTGCAGATGAAACTGGATCAAGCAGTCCAGAACAAAACGTCTTTCTCAAGCAACCAACACAAACTGTTTCACACAGACTTCATCTCTGGGTCACCCTAATCAGATTTATTCTCCCACAGCCGGACTCTTAATCAGCTCTGCTAAGCTTTTGTTTTGTTGCCCCACTTGTCCATCAGCAGAACCAGACCCAGCAGCACCAGCAGACCACCGGCCAGACTCAGGCACAGAACCAGCAGCAGGCCGCAGCCCAGCAGGCACCATCCCAGCAGAGCTCGGCCCAGACCAACGGCACTAGCGGAGCTACAGGGGGGGCTGCCGGCGGGGGTTTACAACATGGCCAGGACCAGGGCCCCCCTAACAAGAAACCTCGGATCGGGCCCTCTGGAGCCTCCTCAGGCACTGGGGTGCTTCAGTCAGAGTACCAGGTCAGCGGGGCTTTACATACTGGTGAACTCAAGACAGAGGAAACGTTTTGGCCGCTGATATCCTGTGTGTTTATCTCAATGAAAACACACTTTGTGACGTCATCAAACTTATCTTATCAGCTAGGATGATATCATGGGCTGTATATTAAAGGTCACATATCCTCCTCCTCTTCAACCAGTTTAAATAATTCTCAGAGCTCCTCAAAACATGTGTGTGAAGTTTCTTGTTCTAAATCCACTCTGATCCTGTATTTGATCATGTCTATAAACCCCTCTATTTCAGCCCTGCTCAGAACAGGCTGTTTCTGTGTCTGTACCTTTAAATATGTAAATGAGCTGTGTATGACCACGCCCCCTCTCTGGAAGGGCTTGGGTGTCTCTGGCTTTCTTGCTCCATGCCCTATTGTTTACGGTGAGAAGTCAGACTCAGAGGGCAGAACAAACACCTAGCTGTGGGAGTGTCACCCACCTGGGGGAGGGGCTACTGCCCTTTGTGATGTCATGAAGGGAAAATCTCCAAACGGCCTGTTTGAGCACACATTTTCTGAAAAGTGGAGCAGGCAGAAGACAGAGAGGATGGACTTTTCTTATATTTGGGGGAATTGTAGACAGACTAGGGACACATATTAGTGTTAGAAAAACATCATATTGAATTTTCATAATATGTGACTTTCCTGTTTCTATGAATTATTGTGTAACATTCAGTTTGGCCCCTCTCTGGTTTGATACTTCACACCTGCTGAGTCGGAAAGTGTTCACAATGTTGATTGTGGCTTTTTTAATAAGCCTAAAACACTAAAAAAATCTCCGTTCTATAAAGAATGTTTGATTTTGTGAGAAAGTTGAGAAGAGAAAAACACTGAAGACTGACTGGCTTTTTATGACCGCTTCACACCAAACCATCAAGTCGATGGAAGCGGGATGTAACTCCAGATAAACTCTCATGATTGTATTTCAATGTTGGAAAAGTCTCACAGTCTGTGACAGCAAGAGGTTGTTTAATGTACGGCCAGGGTCATAACACAGCAGACAACAACAGTGTGTTGGCCCACTGATAAAGTCTGTACATACCACACGTCCCTGCAGATGGAGCTGATAGCACACCAGCCAGTGTTTGGCTCCTTCTCTGGCATCTGTCGTATCTTTTGCTGGAGGCGTTTATCGCAGGGCCACAGAGGGCGAGATGTGCGAGTGTTGGAGCGAGTGTGTTGATAGGCGGAGCATGTGTCACTGAGTGCGCCGCACAGAGCCCAGTGTGATAGAGGTGACTCCTCCTGACCTCTCCTACCTCTATGTGAGTGTGCTGTGATGGCCGGGCCACATGGGGGCGACACTGTCCGGCTCACATGTCAGGTAAAGATATATTTAGCGTTGGCTGAGACTGCATGTGAGACAGCTGGTCGCTGTCAGGCCTCAGCTCATGTATAAATAAACCAGCGGCGTGCACTGACACAACCAGGAGTGTGGCTCGCTGTCTGACTGAGCTGTCACTGTCAGCATCCCACTTTTCCTCTCATTGATCCCAACATAGCAGCCTTTCCCACAATGCACCACTCTCCAATCACTCTCCTAACCAGACACAGTGTTGCACATGTGACCTGTCCCGAGTAGAGTAAACATGAGTCAGTTCAGCTGAGGTCCTCACAGCCAGCTACTTTTCACACGGTTACTCCGCTGAGGCTCAGAGTCTCCTTTAGATTTTCATGATCTTCCTCTTTCCTCGCAGACATTTTTAAATTCTTCAAAGGAGCAATATGTAACTCTGACCCCTAGTGTTTAAAATGGTTACAGCAGTCCAAATTCTAAACATTGTAGAGAGCTGTCTCCCCCCGCCCCCTCATCTCTAGAGTGGATGCTCACACAGGTTGCCATGTGGTGGACACTGTAGCTTCAGTGTTTATCCAGCTCTGCATGGGTCTGTAAACCTTTCTGTGTTCTAACCTCTCTCCATTTTTCAAAATCATCTCCAATATTGATCCTAGTTTGAGCACGTTTCTGCTCGTGGAGCTTCTTAGAAACATGCAGAGGCTTTTTAGGTCGGGTACAATCACTTCTATCTGAACCACTTCTCTTGCCCGCTTCCATCACTGCAACACCTGTTGACCTGATAACTGCTCTCATATCTGGTAAACTGAGGGGCGTCCAAAACGGCCGTGTGGGGTTGTCTTAAAACTGCCTACCTTCTCTGGTCCAAACAAATCCAGAGCATTCAGGAGCAGAATCTAAAGTTAGAAGGAGGACATACTGGCTGCTGCATTGTTGTCAGAGAAGCCAGCACTTCAACATAGCATGTTTCCTTAATGACTGATCATATAATAAGATACCTTAATTATTTCACCATGTACCGTATTTTCTGCACTATAAGGCGCACTTAAAAGCCTTTAATTTTAAAAACGACAGTGCGCCTTATAATCCGGAGCGCCTTATATATGGATCAATTGGTTAATTGGTTGATCCATACTGGTTGTACACGGCGCTCAGCGACACTGACTCGGATAATGACGAGAGGGAGCCGGGCATGTTGGATGCCGTACTCGCAAAACTGTTCAATTCGGACACTGAAGAAGAAGAATTCGAGGGATTCGTGGACGGGGAATGAACTGAAAAAGTGAGCTTTACGTGTTATACGTAACTGAACAATGTTGAGTTATGCACTAACGTTTGAATTAGCGGTATCAGACTGTGTTTCTTTTACGTGTTTACAACTGAACTAGGCTGGGAGATATTGTGAATATGCACATTAACGTTTGAACAACGTTGAGTTATTGTGAATGCACTACGTATAAAACTACGTTTTATACGTATTTATATTTATATATTCACAATATCTCCCAGCCTTGTTCAGTTGTAAACACGTTCTATTCTATGCGCCTTATAATCCGGTGCGCCCTATATATGAAAACAGTTCTAAAATAGGCCATTCATTGAAGGTGCGCCTTATAATCCGGTGCGCCTTATAGTGCGGAAAATACGGTAGATGTCTTACAAATTGCCCCTGTAAACGACTATATGAGCCGTTTAAATCATGTTGTGGTGGGGAAAATTTGGTGTTTAACTAGAACTGTGAAGGTTGAATGAACAGAGACAGAGTGGGGTATAACCTACAGTAGGAGACACAACCAAATGAAAGTTTTATGATGTATTATTATTTTTTGGACCTTTTTGCTTTTATTGATCGGACTGTTGAAGAGCGACATGATATATGGGGAGGAGAAGGTGGGAAGACATGTATCAAAAGGGCCGGGGCTGGGACTCTAGTGCAGGTCAAGCTTCAAATCCGATTTATACCCATCATGTAACCAAGAGAATCTTTTTATTTTAAGATAGAAACAAAGGTGGAAGAGCCGTTCAGATCCTTGACTTGAGCAACACTGTGTCAATAAGCCTCTGATGATTTGTTTTGTCTCCCCCATCCTTCTCTCTCTGTTTTTCCATCAGCACTCCGGCACCCGCCTTGGTTACCAAAGCAACGTCCAAGGTTCCACTCAGCCCCAGAGCACCATGGGATACACGTCGTCCTCCCAGCAGAGCTCCCAGTACTCCCACCAGACCCACCGTTACTGAGGCTCCAGCTCAATCCTGAACCAGCAGAGGAGTCAAACTCCTCCTCCTCCTCCCTCGGCAGGCGCCATCGCTCCCACTCCGCTCTGCTCTGACCCCTCCCCCCCCCCCCTCTGAGTGTAACATCTCATCATCCCTCCCCTTCACCTCTCGCTCACCTCTGACCCCCCCCCCCCCCCCCCCCCCCCCCGCCTTCACCACCAGCACTGGAACATGAAGGCAAACAAACATAGGAACCAAAAAGAAGACAAAATCTAACAAGGAGTTGCGCCTCGTCGGGCGGGGGGAACGACTGAAAATATTGTAAGATAGACGGCGATGAAGGCGTCACTCACACAGACTCCGGACTGTGGCACTTACAAAAACGCTTCATATGTTCATATGTGTACATTACAAAGCACCTTTTTTTCTATTTCCTTTGATCGCTCTCACTTATTCGTTCGAGTTTTCAAGTTAATTGATGTCATTGTAAATACTGTAACATACGGAGGCGATGGGACAAAATGAGAAGCCCGGAGTAGAAGAGCCCTTTACCGCCAACCGCTTAGAGTGAAATCACCTTCAGAAGAATCAGAAGAAACGTCTGAGCTGACCCCCCCCCTCCACTCGCATATTTCTACAAGGACACGAGTCGGCTCCTCAGCTGACGCGGATGCAGGGAAATATTTCATGTGCAATTTGATGTAATCTTCTTATCGTAGGGTTTCTACATTTAGACACCTTTCTCTCGTCTGGGGTTTGGGAAGTAAGAAAAGTCTTTTGACATTTATTCTGAATCACTAAGCTTACCTTTTAGAGATAAGAAACATTTCCACCGCAGAGCTTTGTTTTCCTCCTGTGGACTGTTTTCTGTCCAGGACTCTTTGCTCTGATACCCGTCTTATCGGGGACCCTTCAAGACTTTCAAGGTTTCTGAACACGAGCGTGCGCATAAACGTACAGGGCAGCTAACAGTACGCCCCCCCCTCTTATATGCTTTTTGAGACTGTTACTGCCTGATGTCAGATTGTTCTTTGTTTTTTAAGGTTTTATTGTTTTTATTGTTGCCCAGAGGGTGTGTGTGTGTGTGTGTGTGTGTGTGTGTGTGTGAGAGCGTGTGCATGAGTGTGCGTGTGTGTGTGTGTGTGTGTGTGTGTGTGTGTGTGCGTGCATGTGCATGCGTGTGCGTCTGCGCGTGTGTGTGCATGTGAGCGTGTGCGCGTGTGTGTGTGTGTTTATCTTTTCACTGTCTAGAACTGCACTGAGCGCTCTGCACCTGGTCTGCTAAGAGCCAGGAACAAACGTGGGGTGAGTCAAGCTGTTTGAACGTTCGTCCTCTTCCACTCCGGCCACACACTGAGCCGGCGTAGTGTCAACACCGAGGCTCACTCAGAGACCGTCGCTGCGCTCTTTAATACAAGCCAACACTCAGTAACATGATGTGGCTGTCCCGTGTAAATCATCCATGCCCCTTCTGCTATACTCTTTTCTATTCCGTTTTGAAGTCATCTGGTTTATCAACATAATCACAACACCTGTTTGAGTTCATCCATGAGAAACTCTCTCATGGCTCTTCCTTTTTGGAACTCCCTTAAAACACAGTATTGGGCTCGGGGCGGTGTTTGAAGTCCTGCGTGTCTGATATTCATTCTAATCACTGCGTTGAATCTTCTCGACATATTCTAAATTAGAGGCCAAAACTGAAACCTAAGAAGTTGTTTATTAGCGTAATCTCTCAATCTAAAGATAGACCTAAACCTCGAGAGGCAACCTCATGTTGTAACTTCAATGGAAGAGGATTTTGTATTTCTTGTATATGAAACATGCAATTTTACTCCTTATCTGCTGGCAGAGCTGCACGGGGGAAAAGAGCACCTAAAGATTTTCAAATTATTTTCTTCTGATTATTGATCAGTTGGTCAAAGTGACCTTTCATAAAGTAGTATTTAAAGGTGGAGTCAGTAGAAATGTTTGTTGCAGTTTGTAAACAGAGCATTCAAACTGGGTCCCTGCTCCTGGGCTCATCACCTCCACTGCACTCATATTGTGTGAACGTTTACTGCTCCTACCTACACTGCAAGCTACCGCACGCTAGCACAAGCTAATGCCGGTGTTTGTCACCTGCCTGTCCAACAGAAAGGAGTCAAACTCCACATCTGCGGGTACAAAGCCGACCTAAGGTTCACCCTCGTTTAGGAATCCACATTTGTCATATTTGCTGGTTTGAATTGTGTCCAATCGTATCCACTCCTAAACTCACTTGTGTGCTTTCATTGGCTGAAGGAAACACACTAGCTCCGCCCAGAAACGTCCTGAGCAGCCTGCTAACAAAAGGTCCAGCTGGGTGAAAATCTGTGTTTTAAGGGAGTCAGGTTGATATCCAGTGTTGCAGCCGCCCTCGTTTCCAATCTTTGTGCTAAGCTAAGCTAACTTTACATTCAAAAAAAGAGTACAGACACAAGATTTATATTCATCTTTCTAAACTCATGGACGAAGCTGAGAAAAGTCAAACTTCAAGTTTTACCACTTTTTTGGTCCCGCTTCACGTCAGGAGGAAATATTCTAGTTATTAGATACTCCACTCATGAAAATGTTTACTAAATAACATGAAGTATTTCTACAGGATAAAGCACATTTGTCCTCTAATTTGTGTTACTCCAGATATGATTTTCATCACAAAGTTATTATTTTTATTTTTTATTTTTTGGGGGCATTTTGTGCCTTTATTGGAGAGATAGGACAGTGGATAGAGTCGGAAATCAGGGAGAAAGAGAGTAAGGAATGACGAGCCACAGGTCGGATTTGAACCCGGGCCGCCCGCCTGGAGGACCACAGCCTCCACACCACTCATACCACTTTGCCACCAGCGCCCCCATCACAAAGTTATTTGATAAAGATTGTGGTTGTTGTAAAATTTGAGACTGAACAGTCTGACAGAATATCAAACATTTTAAATCAACTGTAGCTGAACCAATAGGATTGGTATGCTAATTTATTTTACCCACCATTGAATTAGTTACAGACCTCACTGGTCCTGCCTGGTCACGAGTGGCCTCTGTGCAGGTCGTATTAAAGAACGCACCCAAAGGCTCGACTGTAATTGGGAGTGTGTGTGTTCGCCTGCACAGGTGGAGGCAACATGTTGTGTTAGGGAACACTGACACCTGGTGGCTGATAAGAGAACTGGACTTTTGTTTTCTATGAAACTCAAAAGTTATTTTTTTGTTAACTTTTGTGAGCTCGACCTTCTGGGTCTTCAAAGTGCAGAGCGAGTTCCCTATCCACTGCTTTTAAAAGAGTTTTGTTACATTAAGTAAATTATTGGTGTTCAAATTATTGGTGCAGAAAGTGTCCACCACCTATTATAAGACGTTTAATGTTTGCACCTTTATAAGATTTAAAAAAAGCTGTTTCATGGATTTTGCCTGAAATTAGAAACATTTCAAAGGACCAGTATGTAAGATACAGTATGTAGTGAATGAAATGATAAAGTGAGCTTACTATATGATAAGACATTAAGGAAACATGCTATGTTGAAGTGCTGGCTTCTCTGACAACAATGCAGCAGCCAGTATGTCCTCCTTCTAACTTTAGATTCTGGTCCTGAATGCTCTGGATTTGTTTGGACCAGAGAAGGTAGGCGGTTTTAAGGCACCCCCACATGGCCGTTTAGGACGCCCCTCAGTTTACCAGATATGAGAGCAGTTATCAGGTCAACAGGTGTTGCAGTGATGGAAGCGGGTCAAGAGAAGTGGTTCAGATAGAAGTGATTGACTCTGCATGTTTCTAAGAAGCTCCACGAGCAGAAACGTGCTCAAACTAGGATCAATATTGGAGATGATTTTGAAAAATGGAGAGAGGTTAGAACACAGAAAGGTTTACAGACCCATGCAGAGCTGGATAAATACTGAAGCTACAGTGTCCACCACATGGCAACCTGTGTGAGATTTGACTCTTGGGAGGAGGGGTCGGGGGGAGACAGCTCTCTATAATGTTTAGAATTTGGACTGCAGTACCCATTTTAAACACTAGGTGTCACAGTTACATACTGCTCCTTTAAAATGAGCTCCTCGTAGTGAGTGTAGTTCCAGTTGTTCGGTCCATCTTGTGTTTGAGATTCAGGAGCTCACAGTGTGTTCAGTTAAACATGACGGGGATCAAAACCAGCAGCTATTCAAAGATTTTCTCCTCCCTCAAGTGTGTATTTGAAAACAGAATGAGTAGCAGCGATGTTCATTGTGTGTATTTTTCTCTCTCTCCACACACAAGCAAGTATTACTGAGTGCAGCGAGGCTCCAGTGGAAGACAAGTTACTGTCAAACTACTCCTATGCAAAATAATAAGATAAAATTATCCCAGACTAAAGCTTGCACTGAGGAGGCTTCGGATCTGCAGACGACAGCTTTGAGAGTATTTCAATGGCTGGTGTGTATTATTGTTTGTGTAATGTTGAGTACAGACAGCAGCGCTCCTTCGTGTCCTGTGTTTCCACAGCGTTTTGAAATGTACTCTAAATTAATTATTGTAAAGAAATGCATATATATGGAGAGTGTACAATCATATGTTGCATACATACTATGAATACTACCCACCTGTCCTCTGCCTTAACTACAGTAGCTACAGAAAGGGACCTCTGTCAGGCGTCACTGTCTCCTGTTGTTTCTGACGTATTGTCTTTCTGTACAAGCTCACGACTTCATGTCACTGAATGTGTCACTGCCGCCTCACAGGACAGTAGAATGAAGGTGACGTCATTGTTCGGGATCCCTCACCTGCCTCTGGTTTCAAACTTCACTGTGTCGCTGTTTGAACAGGAATGAGAAAGATCCACCTATTTTATTTGTGTGGATGGTGCCTTTTTTTTATGTCGCTCGTCTTCTGAGGATTTCCTGAGAATCTGTTCAGATATTTTTTTTTTTTTTTTTACTTTTTTTACTTTGTGATTTTAGTTTGTTGTAAATAAGAAGTGGACGTAGCCACAGTGGTGTCACCAGTTGGTTTGTGGACTAACGCTTTAAGAACTTGTGATGTCGTTCAGATTAGTGGGTGGATACACGTTGCTCTGCCTCTCAGTGGCCGCTAATTTTCAATAGCAGGTGATCTAGAGCAGGGATGGGCAA